CCATACATTTCCTTCTAGCGACTTGCAATGTTTGCCCCCTGACTATACCAGAGTTCTTTGCGCAAACATGGGTATCCGATTACTGGCAACTCATTCATTGATTCAAACGCCAAACTTTTCACGTACTTAATTAAATGTATTTGGTTCGGCTCATTGAAAGTTCGGCGTCTGAACTGGGCCTAAAATATTAAATATTATGGAAATTAGATACACAGCCCAAATTCTCACATTTCATTTATCTGAATGCAATCGCTTTCAAAAACTTTAAAACCACTAAAACGAAACCAAATGTATTACCAGTCCATATGATCAAAAATCAGTTTTATAGCTCTATATAGTTTTTTCTTACGTCTGTGGTTCAATATATTTTGAATTAGTTTCCGTACCACAGACATGTTTTTGTGAAAAGTGTGAATGTACAAATTAGTCACGCTTTGTAATCATGACCACTTCCAATTTGAATTTCATCTAACTACACAAATTTATTTATTCAGTTGACCCCAAAAATTGTCGAGGGAAACTTGCTTTCAGAAAAAGTTGAAGAATTCATTTCAGCCAATTTTCAAGTCTCTGAATGTTATTGTGAGTGAGTTTTGGTCAGTTTTTGCACTGACAAGCTGTCCACGCAGGAAACTTGATCCAGTGAGTGAAGGCAAACTAGGGGTACAAACGTTTGTAAATTTGTCAATTTTCAAGGGGTAAAATAATACCTGACTTACTGTAAAGGTCCCCTTTCTGGTGCTAGTATCAATTTTACACTCAGTTGACTTTACTTTTAAGCCATTTGAATTTGCAACCAACATTTTGGCAAAGTCTGAAATACCGAAATGTCTCAAATGTCTCTTATTTTAAGTTTCTAGCGGCAAAAAAGAATTTGTCCGATCAGACTGGCTTTTTGTCAGGTCAAAACTTGTCTTTGGCCTGAGAAATGACCTGCTTATAGACAAAAATTATTTGCAGGCTTGGTAAAGGGATAACATTTCATTTAGTGTAACAATACATTGATGATTTGTCATTGTATGCACACTTACAAACTTACCATTACAGAAATATTTAGATGAGAAAGTTTCATTTCCTTCGACATTTAGACCAGCTGATTTTAGCAGTTGCATTTCCCCAACGGCAGTTTACAGTATTGTTCAGATAGTTGTTTTGCTTTTGAAATATTTCTACGGCGCCTGTCTGTGAAGAAGTCTCAACAGTTTTTACAGTGATGTCTTGGGGGTCTTGATAATTTTCCAAGGAAGTCTCAGAGAAAAACAGAGTCCTGAAAGTCTTTTCGGGAACTGTAATTTTTTTGAAGCTAGTTTAAGTACGGTATAATTACCAACGTTATGTATTAAAGTGAGTCACTCATATTGTGCTTGCCAGTAATCTGTTGTTACCTGAAATTTTCACGACACGTTAATTTTGTGAATTTCATGATTTAAAAAAAAGTTGTGAAATTAAAGTGACGCGAATAAGTAAGTGTCGGGAACATAACACATTATGTTACTGTTGACATGTAGTACCGCACTGCATTTTTGTTACTTTTGACGTTATCGTACCTTTGATAAAGTTTACTAAATTCAAAGACATGTTTAAGTAGCATTGCCAAGGAAATAAATTTTGTCTTACTCAAAAACGTGAAATAAAAGTGATTCAAAATACAAAATTTTAGCAAATTCAGCGAATTTAAGTGTTGCGAAATATGCGCACCCCCAAATCGCGAAATAAATGTGTCACAAAAATTTCATGTAATAAGGTAGTCAACCACAAGTATTTGGCTAGTAAAAAAACGTTTTGGCTAGTAACATCTAAGTTATCACTAGCCACTAGGCTAGTAAGTTGAAAAGTTAGTGTCGAGCCCTGAATTACAATATGGCCTGCCTGAGGATTTAAGCGCAATCAAATACATTTACTTTGATTCTGATCTAGGACAAATTGAAAAAGATTTCAAAGATCCTGAAGATGGATTTTGGGAGAAAAACAACTCAGAAGGTATCAAAAGAAATTCTGAAGTATACTAAAAATTCGAGGCCAGTGTGGTTCAG